GCTCACTGGATTAGGAGTTCATTCATAAAGTTCATTATTCAAACAGATATAATTAAATTTATGATTAACCTTTAAAAAAGAACGGTCATACGTACGTTTTTGGATCCAAAAATGACACAATTACAAATTATCTTGATCTCTCGGTAGTCGGTATACCTATGTATGATTTGTATTAATAAGTGTGATTTAAAAAGAATTCTAATGTTTTTATCTAAAAAACTTTTAGTCCGGTCAAATTAGTTATAAAAATAGTGGTCAAATAACGAAAATTCCGACAGAGCTAAATTTTGGTGGAGACTTTGGGTCCACCATTAGAAATAAAGTCTCAAAAGTCCCCTCGATCCCATGTGTGCTAAAAAAGCTATTCGGGGTCAAAGGTCAAAATTTGACGTTTTTTAGATTTTTTTCAAAAACAGTAAGTTTTATCAAAAAAGTAGTCCACACAAAAATGGTCTTTATACTTTTTTTCTAAGAATCACCATTCCTGAGATATCGTGATTCTAAAAGTTGAAAGAGAACGTTCTACATTATATGCACATACAAAGTGCACCAGAACTCGCGCCCCAAAGACAAATGCCATGTAGGGTAAGGTACCAGGAATATAGAAAAAAATTAAAAAAAAAATCTATCTATAAAGATTTCAAAGTTGTGAGAGTTTAAATTTTACACTTTGACTATTTATTTCTGTTGGAAAAATAATTTTCCAAGTTTTTTTGCTACAGGCTATTAGAAGCGGAAACAAGGAAACTGTTTCCTAACTTGTAACTCTGTTTAATGTTATTTATGGCTTTTATTGACAAAATTTTTAACCCTTTACTAAATAATTATAAAAAAACATATACAAGGTCATCAGTATTATTAAATAGACATAAAAAAATGTCAAATGTCAAAAAATAAATGTCAAAGTTTTTTGACAGATAGATTTTTTTCAGTACTCTAAGGACTACCCAATTACTCCCTTTCAAGGAAGTGCGCGATTTTTTGAACATTCTGTATGTATTACCAAATAAATTCTTTTTAATTCTAATGGAATCGAGATATTTATAAGTTTAATGAAGTAGAAGAAAAATTTCAAGTTAGATAAGATACCAGAAACATGGAAAAAATGTTTAAAAAATTCTATCTGTCATTTGACATGTCTATTTAATGATACTGATGATTTTGTATATGTTTTTTTACAATTATTTATTAAAGGACAAAACCTTTGGCCAATAAAAGCCACTAATAACATTAAACAGACATTACAGTTTAGGATACAGTTTCCTTGTTTCCGCTTCTAATAGCCTGTAGCAAAAAAACTTGGAAAATTATTTTACCAATAAAAATAAATAAAGTCAAAGTGCAAAATTTAAACTCTCATAACTTTGAAATTTGTATAGATAGATTTTTTTTCCATGTTCGTGGTACTTTACCCTACATGGCATTTGTCTTTGGAGCGGGAGTTCTGGCGCACTCTGTAAGTGCATATCATGTAGAACGTGACTCCTTCAACTTTTAGAATCGCGATATCTCAGGAATGGTGATTTAAAAAAAAAGGTATAAGGGCCATTTTTGTAGATAATTTTAAGATCTGGGATATGTCTAGGTTACTTTTTTGATAAAACTTAACGTTTTCGAAAAAAATATAAAAAACATCAAATTTTGACCTTTGACCCCGAATAACTTTTTTAGCACAAATGGGATCGATGGGGACTTTGAACACTTTATTCCTAATGGTGTACCCAAGATCTCCACCAAAATTTAGCTCTGTTGGAATTTTAGTTTAGATTTAGATTAGATTTAGATTATTTAGATTATTTTTTAAAATATTTAAAACAATTTTAAGCCTTGTTGATTCTAATTTTAGAATAAAATGTTGTATTCAACTTGTCTTCGTGTAAATCGGACGCTTTATTCCACCTGGGTGAAATAAGGCGTCCAATTTACACTCAAACTCGTCGAATAAAAAACTATTAACTTTTAATTACTTCCAAAATACGATTACCTATGTAAATTATCTCGGATAATAATGGTTAAATGTCAATAAAAAGTAAATACTTGCCATGAAATAAAAAAAAACGATTTCGTTATGTTACAAAAACAACTTATAACAACAAATTTTATGTTCGCATGAGAAGGTACCTATTCAAAAAAAATTATTTTCTTTTATTTTGTTAAAGTATCCACATACTAAATGTTTATAACCTCCGAAGTCGACAGGTTTGCAAGGACGATGGCTTCCGGCCTATCAATAATGTCAAAGACGCAAGATACATACAGATTTGTCAACAAGAAATTACCACCTAGGATTTGAATTTTTAGGAAGATTACGTTTTTCATGTTGTTTAAATTTTCAGAAGTAATTTTGAATGCCTAGGGTTGGTTACCCCTTGTTCTTGTCGGTTGACGTTTTCTGTCAACCTGCTGCTGCCAACTATCAATAGAGTTATCTATATGTCGTAGTCATTGGGCGTAATGCGTCATTCCGCGGAAAGCCTATAGTGTGTTTTTTTTTTAGAACGAAGTAGGTGGCATCAGCATCGGCCGCCCCATTTACAATACAATTTTTAGAATTGTGTAAAATTGGTTGCCTATTGTAGAGGGGTAATTTAAAAAACGAAGAAAATTTTAATGTTATTTGTTTTTTGGCATTTTATTATAAATTAGTGTCTACAAATTCAATTAAGAACAAAAACAACATTTAATAAATCTTTCCTTTTCCTTGGTGGCGATTTCCTTGCATGAGTTTCTTCCATTTCCTTAATAGTTTGCCAAACCAATGTCTGACCAATTCCCGCTACTTCGGACACTCTTTTTACCATTTCAGTTTTGGAGAGCGCTTCATTCTGCTCTCTAAATTTCGCGTAGATATTATGTATCATTATTTTCTGACCACTACTAACTGGCTTTCCCCTGGAATTTTTTTTACAACAGAACTAGGTTGTTGTTCTACCATTATGCTACACCAAAATGCTGCTGAAATCGTGCACCAACAAACGACACTTTAACTTAAAAAAATATGACGTATTTCAAAAATAATGTCCAAGGCATTCATTTTTATACAGCATGTTAGTCTTGACTAAAGATAAAATTGATTAAAATTTCAGCTTCTTATCTCTTTGGTTTTTCTATGCACACCGTTTCTACCTGTTTTTTTCTTCTTCTTCTCATTTGCAGTTTAGTTATAAAGGTATCTGATTTCTTGTCACAATTTTTGACACTCAGAGCTTTAGACGAAATGCCTAGAGTACGAAGAGTTAGACAATACCACCAAGTAAGCGATTTTGATAGGGGTCGAATTGTGGCGTTTCGCGAAGCTGGTTTATCCATACCGGGAAATTGCGCTTCGAGTTGATCGCAGTGCTGCTACGGTAGTCCGAATTTGTCAAATATGGGATGCAGAGAGACGAGGGGTAAGACAAAGATCCACTGGACAGCCTAGACGCACTACAGCCCGCCAGGATCGCAGGTTAAGACTCTTGGCTCTCAGAGACCGTTTCTCCAAGTCGGCAAATTGGAGACCTGTGGTTTGCAGAAGAGGGTAGGTCTGTTACCATGAGAACCTTATATCGCCGTATCAGGTCCTTTGAGTTGTTGTCGTATCGTCCTCGTCTCGTGCTTCCTTTGATCGCTGGACATCGTCGTGCAAGATTGGAGTGGTGCAGAGAACGACGACAATGGAGAGAAGAATGGCACAACATAGTCTTCAGTGATGAATCTCGGTTCTGTTTGGGGATGCTCGCCCACACATAGCCAGGGGAACACTACAGTTTTTAGATGAAGCTGGGATCAATATTTCGCCGTGGCCTGCAAGATCTCCCGATCTAAACCCGATAGAACATGTTTGGGATATGATCGGGAGAAGACTGTCCATTTTAAACCGCCCTCCACAGACCCTAGCTCAACTGCAACATGAAATTCAAGTTGCTTGGGACCACTTGCCCCAAGAGGACATTGATCATTAAATGTTGTCAATGCCCAGACGGGTAAATGAATGTATTCAGAACCGAGGTGGTCAAACACATTATTAATTTTTTATCAATAAATAGTTGATGTAAGAGTCTGAAATTTTAATCAAATTTATGTTCAGTTACGACTAATGTGCTGTATAAAAATCAGTCCATAATAATTATTATTTCTTGGTGTTCCACTTCTAATGTCACTCAGTAGCTTGATAAAGCTGTGGTGTTATATCATAAAATCGTTTGTTCCATTCTGCACTTACATGAGTCACAAAATTATGGAAAACGCTCAAATATTCGGCATAAATCACGTTTTGAGTGTTAATAACGCTTATTTACGGCATGGGCACAATTTGTCAAATTTTTAGATATTTAGTGACAGTCAGTGTTGCCAAATGCTGAAAAATAAAACAGTGCAATGGTGCGAACCACAAACAGATAAAACACTCGCTAACTTGATGTTGTAAAGTTTTGTTGACCTTGAACATGCGTATTTATTAACCTCGTAACTAAGAAAAAACTCGGAATCACTGCATTTTTTACGAAATGCCTAGGCGGGATATTGATACATTTCATTATGAAGGCCTTAGTGGTAATCAATGAAGTATGAATGAACATAGTAATTGTAGTAATAATTGTTCTCAGATATATACCCTTACGGTGGAGGGAAGTAAGAGTAATATTCATACCGAAGCCGGGGCGAACAGACTACTCCCTAGCCAAATCATATCGACCGATCAGCCTTACGTCTTTTCTACTAAAGACGTTAGAAAGACTGTGCGATAGAGAAATACGAGATGTGGCGCTAATTTCAAACCCGCTCCATCAACATCAACACGCCTTCATCCCAGGCAGATCAACCGAATCGGCTTTACATTCAGTTGTAAACCGAATCGAAAAATCACTGGAAGACAAGATGTCTACTCTAGGCGTGTTTATTGATATTGAAGGTGCCTTCGACAGGGCAACCTTCAGAAGCATAAGAACTGCTCTTGGTCGACATGGAGTTCACCCTCTGATCACGGAGTGGGTGGAACACATGTTAGAATGGAGAGCAGTTCAGGTGAGTGTAGGCGACTGCAACATTAGAGGTGTCACAAGCAGAGACTGTCCACAGGGCATGATACTATAAGTTAAAGATATGATATTGCGCATGTTGTATCGTCTGTCTCGCTCGATCGTGACGTCATGCCGTGCCTTTTAGCGCGCCAAATTATTAAGATAACATTAAAACCGTGTGGTTACGTGCTTTAACAATCTCACAAACATAGATTTTACGGTAAGTTAATAATTATAATTAATTCATCTTTACGATTAATACAATATTTTACTTCCAAGCGTCGATACCTTTGTCGCTAAAATCTAATATAATTATTGCAGCCTCAGACTTTATTATGGAATAAATGATTTATGGTCAATTGCACCTCACTTTAATTAATCTAATTATATTAACGTTAATTTCTTTGTAAACACGATGATCTTTCTATTGTTACAGCAATGATCTAAAAACGTATTGAAATTTAATATTAGGTAAAAGAAAGTGTAGTGCAATCGAAGAAAAATGATCTCACAAATTAGTCTAATTAAGGAAGATGTCTCTCTTGTAAATTTTATTTTATTTTATTAATAATAATAGTTATTGTTCTTAAAATTATAACTGCATTGAATTATGCAAATTGATGAATTAAACTAAAAACTAACAAAAATCCTGGACTTTTTCAAAAAATTCTGAATTTTTATTTTCTCTTATTTGAAATTTGTTAATATAAACATTTAGGTACTCACGTTTTATTAATTAATTAATTAATAATTTTTTTAGACAAAAATGAAATAAATTGTAACATTATACGATCGAAAAATGAACGCTGTAAAATATTTTATGTCAGTATACGTTAAAAATGAAAGGACACATCATAGTGATAGCCTTCTGAAGGATAAATTTTCTTAATCGAATATGATATAAATATGTACAAATATAACATTATTTTAGGTTTTTAAAAATGGTGTATTGTGCGGTATTTGGCTGCAAGAACAACAGTAATAAGCGGAACAAAAATTATACAGAGAATAATGGACCACCCCGAATAATAAATTTTTTTTGTTTTCCTCAAAATAAAGATCTGCAAAAACAATGGGTTTTTAGATGCAGTAGAAAAGAACAATTTAAAATTGAGAATGCCAGAGTCTGCTCCGATCATTTTAAAAATGAAGATTTTATGATGAAATATGATTCAAAAATTTTAGGGTACACCCCTAAATTTAGAAAACTGAAACCTGGCGCTATTCCCTGTCTCAAACTACCAAGAAATTATGAAGAAGACGTTGGTAGTAAACGAAGAGACAGGGTAAAAGTTCGGACATTAAAAAAAACGTTATTCAACAAGTGAGTATACTTACTTATTTTAAGACACACTATTTAAATTTATACAGAGAATAAATAATAGTATGTATATTGTTTTATTGGGAATAAAAGCGTTCTTTTTATGACAAGTCTCCAGACGGCAGAGCGCAGCGAGGCCTGCAACTACAGATACCTAAGTCACAAAAATCGGTTTTACTCTGAATAAAACATTATTTTTTCTTCAGACTTCGTAAACTGATTAAATTTTTTGACATAACGAATTCATAAGTTAAAAGTATTATTTTTTAGGTTGTCAGAAGAAGAGAGTACTAAGAATAATGCTAATAAGACACAGTTTTCTAATGAAGATATGTTTAATGATACCGATGGAGAAAATTCGGTGATAACTAATAAGTAAGGGTATTAGACTAAGGGTGGTTTGCACCAACATTAGTTAAATTTAATTTCTGATTAAGAACAATTGTAACTATGAGTACAAAAATGGTTACTATTTAATCCGAGATTAAATTTAACTAGTGTTGGTGCAACTCACCCTAAGAGTAAACTTTATTTGATTATAATATACATTTTTTGTAGGGTACCAGAGAGTGATACTCAACAAATGATTCATTTTGAAGGGTAAGTGGCAGGTATAAGTAGATATATCTACATATATCTACATATACATATATATACTATATACAGGATGCGGCAGAACTCGCGCCCCAGAGAAAAATGC